GAATTCATCCTTGATTTCCGGTATACTGCAATCTGTCGGTGCATACGCCGATACGACGAACAAGCATCGATGCTTCATTCTGTAGCTGTTGACTCGAACTGAACCCTTAAGACGTACAGCGCACAATCGGCTACTGACTAGAATCCAGTCAAGAAGCCAGCGCTCCGCTTTGGCACCTAGCGCCATCCCGACACCAGCAACACCGCGAGCTTCGGATGCCGAATCGCCTGACACACGAAGGGTGAGGCGTGAGGTTGAGGTTGGTTCAGGAGAACGCAGAGAGATGATGGAAGTAGGGTTTTGTATGCATGTTTCGGAGACACAACATACATCTAAATTGAAGGTTTCGAGAGTTTTAGTCAGGGCAGCTTGTTGGTCAATCTGGTAGTGCGTGCGGACATTGAGTGCCGCTAAGTGAAAGGGAGATTTTGGCTTTAAAAATCCTAATGCTTCTGAATCTCTGGCCTTGATAGTAAAACGCTGAGTGGTATTCGATGAGTGACGTAAACAGGAGGCATCTGGGATTAATCAAGGTTGAGAAGAAGAACTAGTCATAAGGGAAGGGTCGTTTTCCAAATGGGTACTTATGACTTCAGGGCACGGTATACTTCGCGGCAGCCCACACCGACGAAGGGGTTTTTCATAGGGAACCCTAACCGGAGACTTCGACTCAAAAGTCTGACCCACAAGGCAGTGGGGCGTTAATCCAACGCGAAAGCGTGAACGAAGCACCCGTGTGGGAGGTTCTGGAGACCTGTCACACAAGGCCTTTGAATTTCGGTTCAGTGTGTTGTTCGCTGGTGCGTTGATTATCGGTCCGCTTTCCCGGATCAGCCGTTAGCCTCATGCACCCAATGAGACAAGCGGAACGTGGACGGGACGGCACCTTATTGGCTGGGGGCTGCCCAGCTTGGGCGGGCGTTAGCTGTCCAATGAAGTGCGAAGAATTCTCCCACCGTCGAGAGGAAGCCCCAGGTATCTTGCTCCTAGGTCCATCTAGCGGGGTTTTTTCGACCGGTGAACTGCCCCTCACCGTGTTTATTTGCTGGAGTGGCCTCTGCAGGGGCGGGTTTGGATAGAAGAGGGAAGCCAGGGGGTGCCCACGCAGCTGACTTGTGAGACTGGTCTTCGTCTGGCCCCTACCCGTTGACCTTTCAGGCATGATTGGATCTACGGTTGTGAGAAGCCATCCTGTGTAGCTCGCAGGGTCACTGAGGCGCGCAAGCCATCACACCATGTCAAGGTGCAGTCTCGTCGTGATGGAGAGGGGTGTGAACGACGTACGCATTGATATCTGAAAAACTGGGCCAAGTACGCAAGCATTTGGCGGTTATAAGTTGAAGACTCACAATTATTATGAACTTTTACATTCAGACTTCATAATACACTTTATTCCTTGATTAATTGCATGCAAAACACTAATATTTTGACAAAGCTTTTTCCTATTTTAAACTAACAACAATCACTGGCTTTTTGACTCTAGTTAGGAAAGCTTAAATTTGATACAGAACTGAGCACATTACGCAGGTGTGTATACAGATACTAAAAGAACAATAATAAAGTTTTGATTGGGAAGATGCCATCATCAGTGCTGTTTAATTAGGCAACCATGATATTTTGGGGTCCTAAGCGATACAAGAACAAGTTTAATGATCCAGTTCTCAAATAAAAACTTCTGTGTTTATGCTAACTCCCATAATTTGGGAGGCCGATGAAAAGCGATAGTTTTTTTTTGAAAATAGGATTGAATATGTCCCGCTTGCACTTGCATGAGGACCCGTTTGCACAAATTTTCAAAATCTGTAAAACTAATCAAACTACTAATGAGTAGTCAATACGATTAGGTGGTAAAGTATGTTCATTTGGGGTGCTAGACAGACGCAGCTGGTGTTCCTCTATGTAAGTGAAATCCGTACACTTACTAGGCCGTCAGTGGAACGCCAGAATTGATGCCAAATAGAACGAAGATTTTCCAGTTGCAAATTGATGATAACCGTAAACACCTGTTCACAATGCGATTCGTACAGTTTGACAAAATGCGCTAGTTGAAGTGTGGTGAATTTCCCACCGCTCCCATTTGTGCCCGTTCCAACACCACCGGAAGAAGAATCGGCATTTGTCTCATACGCTTCAGATTTCATGATCGACGAGAACAAATCTGAATGGACCAAATGAAAGCATAAATAGATCGTGTTACTGCATTTTCTAAAGTCAATCAACACCCGCCTACATGCTTTGTTTCAATAATATTCCAGAGGTGAACTTTTCCATATTTGCCTATCACACAAGCTAAATTTTGCTACCAACACGGCATGATCACATAAACTCTGTCGTGTATAACAGTTTGCCATGCACTACATTCTGAGTGAAACTTTCTGTGCGAATCCGGTTTGGGATTGAGTGATCAAGATAGTGACAGGACAGTGATGCAAAGGTTCTATCAGATTTTTCAGAGGAAAATATTGATTGGATTTTAGTTTTAGGCAATCAAAAGATTGGTTCCTTTAAAAGGATCGCTTCAATCCATAAAATACTGGTTTAAATAGTAGTGACTAAACATTAACATGACAACATGATAACCATGACAACATCTGATGAAATATTGATCTTCGAATTTCTAAACTCAACTCAAGATCACTTTATATAAGACAAAAATCATCAGAAGTCGAATTATATCCTCTAGTGATTAATTTTCTTATTGTGAATTTTTCGAATTTCATTTTTAACCAATAATAATAAACGTTCAAAGACTAACGAAGAATGAAATTAACTCGACTTAGCTCAGCATGTACAGCCTTGATAGTCGCAAATTAATTCATGTATCCAACATTCCCAATATTTCATGTGAGTAATGCAAGTTTGATTCGATTTCAGAGGGTAATTTCGTCGTGTATCTGACAAATAAAGCGTGAACTAAACGTCTAGAAAACACTGGACAACTGTTTCGACCTGGTTGGGTCTCATTTTCCACTTACACGATATAGCACAACCCATATTTGCAAGCCACAAACCTCGCTCATTTCAGCACTAGCCTCAGGGGTTATGGCTCGATTAGAAACAATCATAACCTGACTACTTGTTGCATGCGAGTAATGGAGGATTTAATTCAATTTCAAAGGGCTAATGGAGAATGAAAAGCCGTCTGATGAACTGCAGGGTGGCTGAGTGGGTATCATTCTTTCGTCCTGCCATGAGGTCGCTGGTTCGGTCCCCACTTGGGTCGATGGAGTCGCACTGCTGATAAGGTCCAATCAGGTCGAAACAGCCGTCCGGTGCTTCCTAGCCTTTCAGTTCACGCTTCATTTACCATAAACGCGACGAGTTTACTCTTTGAAATCCCAACATCATTTGTATTTCACGTGATTCACTCGAGCTAAACGCATAATCATCACATGGTTCACTGGATTAGAACAAAAAATATGCAACACCACCAAGGCAAACTCAAACAAACTATTTCGCCAACAACTGAGTTTACTTTGATTAGAGTCAAACGGAAAAAGAAACATTCGTTGTTACCTGCTTCAGTGAGTGTTAACCCGGCAGCCTCACATATATCGATGAGTTTGGGAAAATCCAGTTTCTGGGTCGCATGTAATCCAAAATGGGATCTTTCTGGAATGGAACTGTTCTGTTTTTCTGCACGAGGACTATAACATGAAATGAAGAAAAATAATACACCAATTAACCCCTGAAAACCGCGTGAAATGTTATTTTAAAAATAGTCTGTGTAAACACCTGGGGTTATCAGAGAGAGGATAAAACAATATTAATTCTGCTCTATGACCTAAATAAAATTTAAATGTAACTTTTTGTCACTTTTCGTTCACTTCGCTTCATATTTAAGGCGACTATTGGGACTACTGTTATCAATAGTTGCGCGTTCTACGAGGCAATATATAAGAGGAATTCAAATCAGGCCACAGCCCACCCGCACCGGATTACACATGATTGGTCCGCTTTGCCATCGACTTCTCCCAAATAGACGGAGAAATTGTTTTAGTTGATCGATATGTCAGTTATCTGCTGACCTTGTAAATTGTTTCGGCGGAATGAGAGATATTTCATTCTTCTCAAACCAAGGATACGCACATGTATCACGTTAGATAAAGTGCGTAATAGAAGGAGGTAGCACAAAAGCAATTTCAAACTCAAGATGAGACGTTTGGTAATAAGGAAATTTTCGCCTAAACATGGTTCATCATAACCAAAAACAATGATAATTCACCACTTCCAGTTGGGAGGTTACCCGAGAAAACGTAACTTTTTCATTATTGGATGAAGTTTCAATTTGTACAACCATTAGTTATACACTTTCTTATTGTGGTTTTGGTTGCTGTTTTTTTTGGCTGCCCGTTCGGATGATGTAGTAGAAGAAAAGTAGGAAAGTTGAAAGTAGAGTCACACAGAAAATGAAGAATTTCTGTACACTAAGGTTGCAAGAGGCACGGGAATTAATTGTACGCAAGAATGAATTCAAAAAAGGAATCTGTTTAGTAATGTACTAGATAAAATATTTTGGCTTTTGAAGGCAGGAATTAGTGAATGAATATCAGGCTAAAACCACTCTCAGAGTGAAATAGTTACCGGCCTAAGTAGCAGAGGGAAGAAGTCCTAGCTTGGTCAAACTATGAATTGCCTTGAGAGTATGATAACCCTCTCCAAATGGCTAAGTCATCTTCATCTTCGTGTTGAGAAGGCAGAGGGGCCGCACCCCGTATGAGCCACTTCCCCGCCGGTGCCGATAGCAACCCGCATATCGATCACACCAGACTACTCATGTGCAGAACCATCAAGGTAGCCTAATCAACCAACAAAGATACTGCACGGATGTCGTAAACAAATACACTCGTAAGTTTACCTGCTTTGTATGAAAATATAACTAACTTATATTCTATAATTTTATTCGTGTTAATACCATCAACATATCGTTTACATGTACTCCGTTGACAGATCAAATACGTAACGAAACGACAACAGTCAAAATCGAGGCATGAGAGTGTAAAGTTGTTCGTTTTAGAAACTTAACCGAACTCAACTCTTTTAAGGCTTGTTTACGGAACATTTAATCTACTGCGGACAGTTTTCCTCGATTTCTTTCAGAGAAACGACACTTGAGGTAGAATACCGTCTTCTATGTGTTATATGGATCACAATGAATTGATAAAGGACCACGATACTTACTAGTTAACCGTTTTGAAATCCTCCAGGATGAATTATCTATGGACGAAACCCGGCATTGTGTACCATCGTGACAAACCGCGTGTGAATCTAATTTCGTCATCCGAACAACGCAACATATTTCCAATGAAATTGATACTTTTCTACTCACAAGTAGTGAGATGTAATTTGACTAATTTACTGATATTGAATAAAAAAAATGCAACTTACGTGCTCCAGTGTGACACGTCCGAGTGTCTATGCTGATCGTATGCAAATGAACTGCTGTGTCCATGAGTCATTCGCATCGGACCGGGTGCACCAAGCGCACTGGAGGCTCGAGGCCAACTCATAGCACGATCGTAATTGTTTGACGAACTGTTTATACCTGCAGGGCCCAGTGAACTCAATCCTCCTCCGCCGGTTGTTCGCGGATGGAGACGACTCAGTGAGGATCGTGATCGGGAATCCCAACTGCGCCAGAAACCACCAGTTAAGGAAGATGCACCGAGATTCGACTTTTGGCCAATACTACCAGTATTACCCGTAGTGTTCAAATGACCCGTGTTTAGTCCATCTGATGCAAGTGATCCAAGACGTGTATTAGTGGAAAAACTACCCCGTTGCCGATCAGACCCGCTGCTCAGTCGTGAGTGACTACTGGAAGCGGTGCTATTCGACCGGAAGCCGTCAGTTTTGGAACCCCGGTTTGAAGATGTATATGATTCTTTTCGCTGACTACTACATATCATATAAAAAGAAAGTTGTGAGCTACCAGTGACAGAAAAATTGAGTTATATCATGGGTGTGAAAAGCATGAATAACGACATGCAAAAAAAGAGAACCACGAGATTTCAGCCCTCCGAGGTTATTGAATCCCACAGGTTGCAGCAAGCGACCTATTTTTATGGGCGACTAATGGTTCGTTTGAACCTTATTCAAATAAAAAACATAGTTAACTTGTTTTCTGTTTTGAGTCCTGATACCCTACAAGATAACCCTGCATAGTCACCGTATGACCGTACGTATTTCATAAGAGTCTGAGTAAAAGGCGTTTGCGAAATAAGGCATGTCACAAGCCATTCAAAGATTCATAAATGCACATAAAAAATGTCCTAAATACTTTGCTGATATTCAGGGTAAATTCTGATAAATATTTAACTTTATTCACATTAGTCCTCACAGATGA